AGAAAGAAAGAAAGAAAGAAAGAAAGAAAGAAGGAAAGAAAGAAAGAAAGAAAGAAAGAAAGAAAGAAAGAAAGAAAGAAAGAAAGAAAGAAAGAAGCCAAATGAAACAATATGTGACCCGTCCCCCCAAAAAAACACCTTCCAAAATGCTTTTGATTTCATTTTGAGTTGGCTATCTACTGCTGGTCATGGGGCTTGCCTTTAAGCATGGTTTGTACACTCAGTGAGACTTTCTTGGAGAAACTAATTTTTATTTTGCTTGTGGTTGTTAATTGGAGTTATCATCTTTGATGGGGATGGGAGCTCATGTCTACCTCCACATCTCTGCACTGGGACCTCATCTGGTTTGGATCTGTGCATGTCCTGTGCATGCTGCTGCAGTCTCTGAGTTCATATGTGCCTCAGTCCTACTGTGTCTGGAAGACATGGTTTCCTTGGTGTCGTCCATGCCCTCTGGCTTTTTACCTATTCCCATCTCCTCTTCCACAGACTTCCCTGAGCTGGGAGGGGAGGGGTTTGATGAAGACATGCCATTTAGGACTGTCCAGTTGTGGGTCTCTGTATTAGTTCCCATCTACTGCAGGAGAAAGCCATTCTGATGAGGGCCGAGTCAGATACTGATCTATGGGTAGAGCAGAATGCCTTTAGGAGTCTTAACGGAATTTTAATTGCTAATGAAGGGAGCTGATTTATGTGTTGTGTTGTCTTGGCATGTCTGTGGCGCTGGGGAAGAAGGAAAGTCTGGGTCTTCTGATTCTGAGTCTTGCTGGTGTCTGTTCATCTGGAATCTTTAGCAGCAACAGGTTGCTATGGGCTTTCTCAGCGTTTGTGTTGGAACAGTGGATACTGAGTCATCAGTGAGCAGTGTTTGTTGATTCCTGTTATTTTATTTATTGTTGTTGTTGTGTAGGTCCACCCCCCCTTTTTTTCTGGTCTAGGATTACTTATTCTTTGTGTTTTCTTGGATATAGTTAACCTCTTTAGATTGAAGTTTTTCTTCTAGCACCTTCTGTAGGGCTGTGTTGATAGGTATTGTTTAATCCTGATTTTATTGTGGAATGCCTTGTTTTCTCCATTTATTGCGATTAAAAGTTTTACTGGGGGTGGTGGTGGCGGCGGCGGCGGCGGCGGCGGCGGCGGCGCACGCCTTTAATCCCAGCACTGGGGAGGCAGAGCCAGGCGGATCTCTGTGAGTTCGAGGCTAGCCTGGGCTACCAAGTGAGTTCCAGGAAAGGCACAAAGTTACACAGAGAAACCCTGTCTCCAAAAACAAAAACAAAAACAAAAACAAAAATGCCAGGCAGTGGTGGTGGCAGCGGCGGCGGCTCACGCCTTTAATCTCAGCACTCGGGAGGCAGAGCCAGGCGGATCTCTGTGAGTTCGAGGCCAGCCTGGTCTACCAAGTGAGTTCCAGGAAAGGC